TGTATTTCTGTGTTTGTGTCCATGTGATGCCAGTGGTCATAATATCTACTCCACAGATTGCTTGGTGAGTTGCCAGAGTCTCCGGGATGGAAGAGACTGTCACTCCACTAGTAGCTACATGTGTTCTCTCCTTATCATATGTAACGAACCTTCCTTGCAGAGTCGTTCCTGCACGTGCACCATATTCAATTCTCCATAGTATTATGGTTCTTGGATTATTATGATTAAGTGACAGTGAGTTTATGCAGGTATAATTATACTATAAATGTATTGTAAGGTTAACACAGGATGGGTGTAGATACACGAGGAAGGGAAGATGGTGAATAGGATGGCAAATTGTCACTTTTACAGAGAGACTTAGCAGCTATAGGTTCCTCCTACAGCTTCCTCACATGTATTTAAACAGGAAGAGTCTTGAGTACAGATGACAGTGTAGTGATGTGTGGGCGTATTTCAACAAAACACCCTCAGCCAGACAACAACTGATGACCTTGAACTTACTATGATCAATTACCATAATTATTTATGAAAAATACCAGTGGCTGAGTTGTTTGTAAAGAGGCTAAAATGCTGGGCCCATAGTTGCACTTGTGTGTTTGTGTTAACACGCAGAATAATCATTCTTTAAACGAATTATGATTGTTATGTGAGAGACTTGCAATTTGGAAGTATACACACAGCTTTTTAAAAGGTCTTAACTGTTTCGAGTAGCATCTTTCGTGTTAGTGAGCTTGTTATTTCTCAACAATCAAGCAATGAGATGGCAGAGTAGCAGTATACTGGGAAGACGGTGAGTGTACTAAGTGGCCAACCAGAATTCAGCTCTCTAGAAAACTGAAATCTCATTGCTTTTCAGCTCTCAGCTTCTTATAGAGCATAAAGCCTGATCAATTTTCGGCTTTCAACTTTGAAAGATGCTCCAATACAAATATTTGCAAGTACTTTACATTAGACATTAGGAGGCAGCTGAAAACCTTACCTGGATTTCGGCTTTTAGGCCTGCACTTGCCCAATACCTGTAAAAGCCTGATTTGGGGGAGTTGCCCTGGAAGAGCGAGAGCAATGTAGAGCTATGAATGTGATTAGGAGGGAAATGAAAATCAGTGTCTGACAATGCAGTGTTTGTAGCTACGTCAAGACAACCCTTGCTGACACAGACCTGCCATGCACAAGACTACATATATGCCTACGTGTGTTTAGTGTACGCCAATATAATGCCGACATCATTAGAAAGAAAGATGATGTTGACTTGCAGACTACAACAATGAAAATCGTGTTGTAAGGGAAAGAAAATGGTGAATAGACAATTTGAGAAGTTGCCCTTGACCATGAATGGTGTCTTGAAATACAGCTTCTAAGTTTGGGTACGCTTCAAAAAAATCTCTCTCTCGTAGCTGCTGTAAACGCGTATTCTCACGGAGAGGGTCAGTGGCAAATATTGCATTACGCTGTAGGCGTTGCCGATTTTGCTTATGAATGTGAACTACTTCTTGCGTTGAGGGAATGATATTGGGCAGAAGAGTAGTAGTGTGGTTATTCTGAGTGAGCAGTTTTCTAGAGAGCTGAATTCAGCTGAATTCTGGTTGGCCACTTAGTACATTCACCAAAGACCCTCAAAAGGGATGATCCTAAGCATACCACTGTAGGCTGCATCTACTCCAGTTGGCTTCTGGGGGGGGAGGTAGGGGTGTGTGGGGGTGGGAGGGGGAACTTCTTATTGTGTTTTCCCCCAGCTATCCACTCTATAATGTTGGTCCTATGCACCCACTCCGTTTGTGAGACAGCTTCCTGTTGATTGAGGTTAATTCCCCAGCCATTTGTATAGCCTGAATACCCAATACGTGGGTAGAAGTTTCGGTGCCTCTGCCCTATAAAAGGAGTCTTTGCTTACGAAAACATAACCTCCACTCCAAGCCTGCAAAACAGAGCTATGAAGAAGATAATGCTCTCAGCGAAGCTATCGCTGGTGGTTCTCCTGTCCCTGTGGAGCACCGCCAGCTCCCTGTGCAGACGTTCTGGTGGAACAGACTGCTCCACTTCAAATGGAGAGTGCTCCTTTCTCTATGACGAGAGAGACGGTACTCTCATTTCTCAAATTGGCTGGCCTCCTGAAAAGTAAGAATATAGCTACTATTGCTGCTTTTGGTCACCGTCTTTTATGCCCATACAGCAATCGGACATGTTATCGCACCTGCTTCGAAAATGGTGTTTGTAAAACCCACTTCAGACACGAGCGAGATATAGGAATAGTGTCACATAATTCAACCCAGTACACCTTCCAAAGGATAGCCTCTCCTCGCTTTCCCATTTCCTACAGAACGGCTACAAACTGCAGGTGAAGAAACTTCACATGTGTTAAAATAAAATTATATTTTTGCGTTTGGCACAGGTTCAATATCAAATGCAATGAAGGACACATTTTGATCTATTCCGCTTCTGATTTTCAACTACAAGATAAGATGAACTGTTCAGGGGCCCTACAGCCAGTATGTGTAGACTGGGTCAACCATCACATTGGTGGCTTTGCTCAGAGTCATAAGTTATGCGGAAGTGGTGAGGTTGGCCAATTCCATTCTGATGGTGCAAACAGTATGCTGGTCGAGTTTGTCACCAACCGTAACAGTCAACTTAAAGGGTTTGAATACCTTGCGTACTGCATAGCTCCTGGGTTTGACAGCAATGCCGTCAGAGAAGGGGTGGTTTCTGCCACCCCAGCCCAGCGCCGTGCTGCAGGGCAATGTACATCACCTGATAGTGATCGGAGAAAACGACAGTCTTACTATAACCCACCGGTACGTACAACAACTTACGTACTGTATCATACCCTGATTCCCTATACTTTATTCTAGCCCACTACAGAGCTCAGTGATACCTTTGTGATTCTGGAAATGTCTCATTACCTTTCATTCACCTACCTGACCATCATTGTTCACCGTGGAGTGTATGGAGTGACCTCTCACCGTGCAATATACCTAACTGTTGTTAACCGCTACTCAAGAACTACTTACCCACTCTGGCGTCCTATCAATGAAGAGATAAAGGGATTTGGTGAGTAATTATATGAATGCTCATCTGGTAATATTTTAACATCAAATTTTTAAGGTTATCTATGGATATCAGGAAGGAGTGCATACTTTTACCAAATCGGAGCACATTCTGTGGTGAGTATAACAATAATCTCTAGCTACATGCTCGAGTCCACACTCTAAATCCCCATCAGTTTGATCCAAGTAGTGAAGAGAAGGTCATTATTCATCGACTGGAGACTGGCCTCAATCGAGCACTGAGATATGCCGAGCAGTACGATGTCGTTGATGAGTTAGACATCCTCCGTCCCAGACCCACATCGCGACCAGGCTTTGTCGGTCTCCCTGGGACTCGGCCAACAACACCTCCACCTCCACCAACGCTAGCACCAAAAGGAACGCGACCACCCGCAACACTCAGACCAACTGCACCACCAGGTCTGCATGCCTGACCAAATACTGTTAACCCTCGGCATGCATGCGAGTATTTCGCCTGCCTGAATAATTATGATGATGAGCAAATGTAGATCCATAATCACACCGATACCTACTAACAGGTCTACCGGGAACAAGACCACCAAGACCACTAATACCATCAGGACCACAAGGACCACCAGGACCACCGGGACAGCGTGGACCACGTGCAGTCACAAAACGTCAAGGAACTCGTCCACCAGATTCAGGTATAGCTACATAAAGCTGTTTTATGTACCTTTGTGTTACAATGATTTTTGTATACCCTTTTCAGATCTACCAGATGGATCTCTTACTGGTATGAACATAGTATAACAACATTAAGGGCCACAGTGACCTTGTCCTTTTCCCACTCTTCCAGATGCCCAGCTAGCTCTGAGATATGGCAACGCCTGCAACGGTGTCCTACGAGCAAGTGCCTGTGCTTACCAGCATGTGGTGCTGAGGAGGAACTGCAATTAACAAATATGTGTTCTTGAAACTTTGTTGCATTGACAACCTAAACTCATAAGTCATGTTCAGCTATAATAGTGTGGCATGGATAAGGACCTCAGGTTTGAGTGATGTGAAAACGAATAGCTCCAAGGTTATTACTATCAATCCAATGTGGCTTGTGTGTTTTAACAGGACACCATACAAGAAACAGTAGTGGCCTTTTGCCACCACCTGCTGAAAATAGAGGGGTGATGAATGAAGTATTATGGGGCCAAAATATGTCGAGAGACCAAGTGTCTGGGACACATTGTCTCCTAACTATAAAGTTGTGCCCTGTTGGAGATTATACCTGCATATTATGTGCTATGCTACGGCTCACTTCTTTTCAACGGTGTAAAGGTAGTGCAAAGAAAGTGTGTCACCATTTTCAGAGAGGACCGAAATTTTGGGTCGAATGCACAAACAGTAAAGATTGTGGCAGGAGATTGATGATAATTGGCGAGCGGGAGCGAGCCAACCTAGTCGTTCGTTCGAGCGGAATTTTCTATGCTTTCGTCGTACGTCGTGTAAGTGCGCATGCGCGGTTTGTACTTACGCGCTTCTTTTTATCCGAAATTATTTCCAACTTTTTACACATTTTCACACACATGCCTCGCGCGATATGCGCCGATCGATCTAGCCAGCCGGAGAACTCTCCTCCATTCGACGGCATGCTCTGCAACCTTCGGTGACTGACCGAGGCTGTACCTCTTCCCAGTCTTCATGGTTCCAAGCTGCAAATACGCTAGCATTGCTCGTGCACATACTGCTGCATGCCAGCTGGCTGGTGGGCCACGCCGCGTTGTCGGGAAGCCCGATCGATCGCTGCCTAGCCTACTGCCATGCCAGCTGCCTGGTGGACCACGACAGACAAGCTCAAAGCGTGAGGTAAGGACCGTTCTGCTCACCTGCTCACCGTTCTGGCAATATACAGTAAGCATGTAACGCCGACAGGTGCATGACTCTGTCTTGCTTCACGAAAGGAAAGCTGTGCGCTGACGGTGGCACGTTATGCAGCCCGTACATCGCAGACAAATCCCAAGTTGGGTCGCTCCCGCTCGCCAACAATGTTGAACATTTCCACTAGTATCAAACTAATATACAAGGTCCGCCGACAAGGGAAGCAAGCAAACATCACCGAAGATTATACGTCTTTATTAGGTGATTCAAAACAGCGTCCATATCTGCCAACAGAGCAATGTTAGCACTCCTCCACTTTCGCATCTGCTTGATTTTTCGTTCAAACTCAACCGTTTCTCTCTCAAGTTTGGATATGGGGATATTCTGGCCTCCTCTTGGAGACAAAATTTCTGTCTCCCGCGCACAACTTTGGATATAATGCTTGTGTTGAAGCCCCATCCCCTTCTGCAGAAGTACAGCCGAGTCCAAGACGTCGTCTAGAAACGGTCTGAGAGAGTGTGAGTCCAGGTCCTCGTAGCGGACGGGTCTGGTCCTACAAGTAGGGCAACTGTCGGGCTCCTTACACGAGCTGCAGACAAAGTGAGCACAGGGTTTGGTGATGTGCAGATACGAACACTTTTCGGCAGAGACGGAGCAAACGCTGCAGCACTTCCAAGGGACATGGAGTGGCATGTGTGAAAGAATGAGCACAACAACCAGCAGCTGCGCCGCGCGCCTGCTGTAAAGTTTAAAAGGTCAAATAACATCGAAACTCGCGGTGATGGTTCGAGGAGCTCGAGGAGCTTCAATGTCTGGTCACATGACAGAAGACAGTTTTTTCTCCTCTCCAGCGAGCACCGCGCCTGGGGCTGCTGCATTCGCTCAGCTTTCGTCTATAATACCTCGCTGCTCCACTCAAGGGTTTAGCTCGTGCATAAACGCGCAGCACCGGTCAAAAGCACTCCACAGCAGCTGACTCCGTACAGTTTGTAATGGGTATGGACGACGAGGACGTGGACGAAAAGACTCTGCTGTCAGTAGACAGCAAGGGAGCGGGGACCCCTCCGCTGGAGGAAGAGGCGGTGCCGGAGACGAGGATCGCCCAGTGTCCTCCTCGGCGGCGGCTCCACTGGCTACGGAAGCTGGCGTACGGCGTGGGCCACGTCTTCAACGACCTGGCAGCCAGCATGTGGTTTACCTATCTCATCTTGTTCTACCACAAGGTCATCGAGCTGGACAACGCCCTGGCCGGTACTCTTCTCCTCATAGGACAGGTAGTGGACGGACTCTCCACGCCAGTCATAGGGTACCTGTGTGACATAACACCATTCTGGTTCTTTGGGTTCGGGAGGAGGAAACTGTGGCATATAATGGGGACAGTTCTTGTTGCCGTGTCTCTGTTCTTCTTCTGGCACAAGTGTCTCCCGTGCAAGTCCCACAGCACCCCGCTTGGCTGGGAGATAGTGTGGTACGCAGTGTTCATTGCCATCTTCCAGTTTGGGTGGGCCTCCGTGCAAATATCGCATCTCTCCCTCATCCCTGAGCTGACAGACGATGAGGAGGAGAGGGTAGGGCTCAATGCTATCAGGTGAGTTTACATAGCAAAGAGTGTTTACTACCTCTTTCTTAACCCCCAATATGGATGTATGTATACACATGCTGGGTTTTTCCATAGAACTAGTTTCACGCTACTCTCCAACCTGGCAGTGTTTGTGACCATGTGGGTCCTCCTGAATGTGGCAGACAAGAAAGAGTACATAGGCCCTGCTGCTGAATGGAGCTTCTCTGTAAGTCTGCAAACACACCACAGAGTCATTCTTAGACTTTGCCAATAAACAGTTGAGTTCACTGTTTTGTGCTGTATTTGGAGTTGACCCATTAGTGTGACCAAGTGAAAAATTGTGTATTGTTTATAATATTGTCAGTCCTATATAGTACACGTTCTAAGTGCATGTGAAGGTTCTGTTTGACAGAATTTTTCCACTGATTGACAAAACGATTTTTTGTGCCCTTCTTGTTTGGTACTTCTGGGGAACCTAACCATCTTAGGGAACTGTATCACTTCTGTTCTGTTGTGTGACGTGGTTGTCCTAGAAATAGACAAAGGAGGTCACTCTCTTCTGTGTGTGTGTGCGCGTGTGGAGCAAGTGCTCAACAATGACTTTGACTTGTTGGCACTTTGCACTGTTTGTCTATCCCATTGAAGAACATTGTTGTAGAAGCTTCCTTTGTATAGTGTCTCTACCCTAAATTATTATAGTGTGTGTCAGCTCTGTCTCATTTACACTTTCTCCCTCTCCCCCTCCCCTCTCCCTCCCTCACCATGCCACCTCGCATGTCAAGGGTGCAGTGTTAGGGATAATATTCTTTGGACTCATATTCTCTGCCATATTCCACCTGGGGACAGTGGAGCCGTGCTCCCGAGCACAGCAGAGAGAGGAGAAACAGGACGGAAAGAGGGTTGCCTGGTTCCAGTGGTTCCTGAAGCCTCAATTGTACATGGTCAGTCCTGTACTGTGTCCCATCAGGCCTTGCACTAGCCTCAGTTCTACATGGTCAGTCCTTATGTAACCTACTGTGTCCCATCAGGCCTTGCACTAGCCTCAGTCTACATGGTCAGTCCTTATGTAACCCACTGTGTCCCATCAGGCCTTGCACTAGCCTCAGTCTACATGGTCAGTCCTTATGTAACCCACTGTGTCCCATCAGGCCTTGCAGTAGCCTCAGTTCTACATGGTCAGTCCTTATGTAACCTACTGTGTCCCATCAGGCCTATATAGGCCTAGCCTCAGTTGTACATGGTCAGTCCTTATGTAACCTACTGTGTCCCATCAGGCCTATATAGGCCTAGCCTCAGTTGTACATGGTCAGTCCTTATGTAACCTACACTGTGTCCCATCAGGCCTAGCACTAGCCTCAGTTGTACATGGTCAGTCTTTATGTAACCTCTTAATAGTACTCTGTACCATCAGGCATAAGCATAGTGACTGTCCCATTTACAACCTACTTGATTATACCACTTGATATGTGCCAGGAGTGTGTGACGTAAGCCTTACTCTACTATTATTATGTAGTACCTTCATTTCACTATTGGAGTGAAAGCAGGAGGGGAGGGGCTACCGGCCACTCCCCCTATAGAACCAACTGAATGGCAGCAGCAACCTTGCAGTGTGCATAAAGACCATATCTGGCGCTCCCTAAAGCTTAGCAAAAACCTTTGGCAGTATGTGAACTGTTAACATGGGTGTATAAACACTGCAACTATTTCACAACTTTCTCTATGTTGTTACTGTAGAAGCTACCCCACACAGTGTTTCTTTCACTATCATTGTTGTGTTATTCATTTTCAACATTTTAGACTTCTGGTAGTAATCCGAAATGGCTTTAGTGACCAATAGCTAGCCTCGGAACCCAGGTGTTCCCCGTCCAACGCAGTGTATAGGCACAATCCCCACGCACAACTATTCCGTGCATACTCACACGTACTACTATACACAGAGTTGAACGGAGAAGGCCTTGGTTCCGAGGCCTAACCAACTACCCCACTAACATCATTTTGTTCCACATTAAAACTCTTAGGGGCCAAGCAATGTAGATGTGTACATCAATACGTACAGCACAAGAATTATGCAATGTAATATGCCGGCAAAATTGTGTAAAAAGTCGCGCAGGTGATGAGGTTTGAACCAGGAAGCTTGTGTTCTCAAAACGTTGCTAAACTATGTACATACTTTAGCTACACAATAGTATGGCCTTGTCTATTGTGCCCAGAGTGATTTCTGGAACTGCTATTGTGGGAGATTTATCACCTTGAAAAACTTGTCCTATATTGTACGAAACCATCTGTGCAGGTGGCAGGGATATACATGGGTACTCGACTGATAGTGAATGTGAGTCAGGTGTACACACCACTCTACCTGGTGGACACTCTCCATCTACCCAAGGTTAGTTCTGTGCACGAGAAAGAGATTCATCTATTGACGTGTAATGCAATTATGTGTAATTATCCCGGTCTGCTCCTACATGTACATGCCGAGTGACAGTATATTGTGCCATAGCACAGTTGTTTGAGGATTGCCTTTTCTTGTGTTGTGTTGTGTTGTATGGCCTGGGAGTCCTAGGGCAGCTCCTTTTTCCTTTAAAAAGCGTGTATAGCCTTTGAACTTTGCTGATGACACATGCCCCCCTCTCTGTCTCTGTATAATTATACTTCTTTGTCCTTTCACCTTCACTGTCCTCTTTCTTCTTGTCTCTTTCTCTTTTCTCCCCCCCCCCCCCTCGTACTCTCCCTATCTCCCTGTATGTCTGTATGTCTGTACATGTTTGTCCTCTGTGTGTGTGTATGTCTGTGTCTCTTCTTTTGTGTGTCTGTACGTCCTTTTTTCTGAGATTGTATGGTATGTCTGTGTCTGTTCATCTGTGTTTCCCTCTATCTGTCATACAGGAGAGTGTGGCCATCGGACCACTGGCAATATACATCAGTGGATTCCTCACTACCCTCTTCCTCAGAGTAATCAACAAGTTCATCGGAAGATATGTTAGTATGCAGCGCTCATGCATTTCTGTCTCTGCGTTACAATATTGGTTGAGATCACCAAGCTCATTAGTTTGACTGGGGCTTGTGCTTACATTTTCTTGGGAACGGTAAACAACTGTTCATTACATACACACGTGTCTATCTATGGTCTTAGTACAGCATCCTCTATGCACACAGGCTGGTTGCTTAGTGATGTCAAACAACTCTGTATTCCCTCCATGTTGTTGTTGCACCTTTCTCTATAGACATTTTCCTTGTGTATTCACATCTTCCCCCACAGATGACATACTTTTGTGGTTTGGCTCTGACTTGGGGAGCTCTGTAAGTCATAGTATTCATTACTCCATGGCAATATTCATGTGATATTCAGTGTGGCCTCTGTTATCCCTAGCTTGCAACAAGCTTGGCTTCCCATCCTGTTTTTCTCCAGAGGAGGGGGAGGGAGAGAGCCATGATATCACAGAATGTATGTGTAACCTCCATAGGCATCTCCCTCTATCGGAGCGAGCTCTATGCAGGTGCATGATTATCACCCCGTAATGAAAATGAAGTGGAGTCTCAGTTTTTAGAGCAGAGATCCCGAGATCTCGGAGGAACCAGGCCGTTTTTTCGTTTCAAAGTAGTGGGTGAAAGATGCAAAACAGCATGTTGTGCATGTTGTGTATGTACATTACTCCTGACAGTAGCCATCTACAAGCATGCATGGCCTTTTACCTCCATATTATTTCTGTACATTTCCAACTTAGGGAGGTTCACACTGGGCTAACCCCTCAATTTATTATACTAATCTATGTCACTGTATATGATACATGTATGTACTGTTTCTTCAGCCTGTGGTTCTGGATGCAAGAAGCTCCGGCCCAGACAGAGCACCCTCAGGTCGAGCAGATCACAGTGTATGGCTCCACTGTATTGCTGGGAGCTGGGGGGTCGACTGTACTCGTTACCTCACTCTCCATGGTGGCTGACCTCATTGGACCTACTGTGGTATGCTGTCTTTATGCACAATCAAGGTTTTAGCATGAAACCTGAGTGAAAGAGCCAATAGTGGTAATGAGCAATTGTTTACCCCGACCGGGTTTTTATCCACTGGAACACCATGGTTCAGGGTGTTTATCTGGTCTAGCATTACTCTATGAGCAGTATGCAGCAAGCCTATGAGAAACTGCCTTCGACCAATGTCCAGCTCATAGGTTACTGTACTGGGTGCATGCATATTGTGCGTGTATCTAGGAGACGAGCATTGTCTGTGCGCTTAGGGTTTGCACTTCAGTGCTTTTTCACAAACTTCTGCTAAGTTACATTTGCCGTTGTCAGTGCTCAAGAGCCTTGTCTATCCCTCATGTAGTATTTCTATATCCATGGGGAGTCCGTGATTGACCATTAATATTGTGCTGACAGGGAAGTGGTGCCTTTGTCTATGGTCTGATGAGCTTCACAGACAAGGTATCCAACGGAGTTGCCGTGCAGATTGTTCAAGCTCTCCACCCCTGCAAGTCCACTAATCCGTGAGTTTAAAATGAGGGCTTTGGTTTCTTGGTGCACATGTCCCAGCCGGTGTTTTCTCTCTGTATAGATGAGCTGACCATTACACATGTCTTCTAGCGTGTTTATTCTTAGGACAGTGCCACTGTGCACATTTTATTCAATTTCACTCAGTATACACATCAAGCTAGACCCCACCTCCCGTTTCGCTGTGTTTCCACGTTGCGCAATTCCATGTGTAGCTTGAGTTCAAATAGTTGGTAACAGCAAGAGCTGGACCTGAACATGGCCCCTCTGCGCTATATAATTTTGGGGTAAATGCAGCAGTTACATGAGGCTAGGGTATAGTGTATTTAATTTTGATCCCAAGAGCACCCATATTGAATACCTCATTCTGATTCTGACACTAGGAAGCATGTTTGTTGCTCTGCGTGTGCCAAGTTCTATCGGATAGTGTTGTCGGCGGTACCAGGAGGAGCAACCCTGTGTGCACTCATCTGCCTGGCCATACTCACTCTCTACGTCTACCGCCGCACCAGGCAGCTGAGAGGTATGCTACACCTCACCTCTCTGTGTAGTTATTGTCCTGCACTTAATACTTATGCCATATCACTAAGTACGGTAGTACTTAGTATATAGGGATGACACAGGTTGTCCTGCATTATGCCCATACATTTGAGATTTTCGGGTTTCACGTCAATCAGATCCAACTTTTGACACATCAGACTAATTTGTATCGTCACAAAGAGCATGTATCCAAGAAATAGCATAATCAAGTCACTTTTCAATTTTCTTCTTCTTCTTGTTGTTCAGTTTCAACAAGCGTATCTCAAAAACCAGGTAAGATATGGAGATCAAACTTTGCACAAAGATTGGAATCCATGACAGGTCGTGCAAGAGCATTTTTATTTATTCGTAAACTATTTTGTTTACATGTAAACAACAACAAATAGCCCCAGGTAATACATTATGATAGAGACAAATAAAGTGTGCTAACTAGGTAAAGATAATACCCAGAGTGATAAAACTTTGTACACACATGCAACCCATCATTAGTATCAAAATGTAAACATTACAAGTTTGTAAACAACAACAAACAGCCTCAGGCAATAAAAACTTGTAGACTATATTATTGCCTATAACTTGCTTATGGTGGGACTTCTAACAATGAAAATTGGTACACTGATGTTCCATGATGAGAGTTCATCGAAACAGAAATTACAAGTTTGTAAACAACAACAAACAGCCTCAGGCAATAAAAACTTGTAGACTATATTATTGCCTATAACTTGCTTATGGTGGGACTTCTAACAATGAAAATTGGTACACTGATGTACCATGATGAGAGTTCATCGAAACAGAAATTACAAGTTTGTAAACAACAACAAACAGCCTCAGGCAATAAAATGATGTTTGTGCCTATAACTTGCATATTGTGGGTCCTCTAACAACGAACTTGGTACAATGATTTACAACGATGAGAGTTCATGGGAAACATAAATTAGCCCTATATTGTCGCCACTTTTCTCACAACATGAATTTGAGGACAATGGTGAGACTGAGACACATAGATCCACTTGTGCATAAGAAACGAGTCATAGCTGCACATCATACAATAGAGATCACTCGTGCTAGCAAGAGATTTTAATGACAGTGCATTTAGCCGGCACTCTTTAGTTGAGTCCCCTCTCTCTAAGACCAGTCTGTAAAGGGATTCTCTGGCGGGCCATGAACACAGCATTGTAAACTCATTGAGCGAACACCCGAAGTCTTGACTGCACACAATGCAGTCACAACTAAGAACTGAGGAGCTGTCGGAGAGGGCAACACCTGTGCATCACGTGCTTAAGAGATGAGACATTCTATGAGGGAACACAGTCATGCTTGCGACAATATAGGGCTTGTGTGGAGGAAATTTACCACGAGCAAGAAATGTCGTTTTTAAGATTGTAAGTATCATCCCACTTGTCTACTGCACCTCACATACCTATCTTCACAACAAAACAAAATAAAAATAACAAAATCGAAAACCAATAACAAACAAAACAAAAAAAAATCCAATAATCAGTAAAACAACAATCCAAAAAACTCCAAAAAACAAAAAGATAAAAAAAACAATCAAACGCAAAAATCAAGACAAACAAATACCAAAAAAAGACCTCCAGGCGAAACCCACCAAACAAACATCCACAAATAATTAACGGCAGAGACATCACTAAAGCATCACTACTAATATGAGAACAGAATGAAAAATGAGAAAGAAAAATAAAAACAAAGAACAAAGAAGGAAAATACGGAAAACCAGCACATACCAAAAATGATAACGTATCAAAAAAAGATGGATCCCAAAAAAGCCAACGAGAAAGCCATCAAATCCGGCCAGGCAGAATCCATCAAAACTAAATTATACAAAAATTAAACATATCCCAACTCACAACCTGAAAAATCAAACCAAAAAACAAACAAATCGCTACATATCAAACCATCAACTACCGCCAAGAAAAAGAAAAAAAACAAAGAAACAACAAAAACTCAAAAAAAAAAAAAACATAAACAAAAAATTTCTCTTATCTAAAAAAAAACAAAAGAGACCAATAACATAAAAAAAAAATAAATCTAACAACGAAAAAATTCCGAAAAAAAACATGCTAGAAAGTATCCAAACAAATACAAGCTAAATCACATAAAATCCGAAAATAACAAGTTCACTTACAACAGCAAAAGAAATAGGACTAACAAAAGCCGAGACAAATACATCCACAACACCCTGTCTTGTCTCCTTGCTTTTTATGGCATCCCTATATTCCACACTTTTTTAATTCGAAGAATTTTTTATTTACTTGTAATACTACAGCTGCGTCGTACAGCTGTGCGCAAACCGCCGGAATTTTGCACAATGACTCCGCCCATGTTTATTTGGCGCATGCGCTTGTCTGTTCTTTAAGGCATTGACTTTGACTTTCAGGTGAGACAATGTTTACAAACCCAGTTGGCATCAACACACTCAAGGCCAATACAAAAAGGGTGGAACCATTTTCAACAGTTTTCGCACTGGACCCAATCCACAGCTGACTTGTCACACCTCATCTCAACACATGGAGTAGCTCATCTATATCTTTGTTTTTACTTTGTACCTGTGAATGCAGGTTAGGAGGAAACGAAACAATAAAATACATGTACAAGAAAAATCCATCCATCTGCATCCATGTGTTGAACCCTCCCACTAATGCGGTAATGCAGTGTTGACTTGGGCACTCCAAATTGAATCGCTGCTTCCCGTACGGGCATCCCTTGGCTGGCTGCCTGTTGCGCTTTTTCTATTGCTTTCTCTGTCCACATCTTTCTGTTCTAAGGTGCTGCATGTGAAAACGTAGGCTTTCTCCACAATGGATAGTGCCAAGATCCCCAGAAAATACGCTGGTTCAGTAGCACACTTTGTTGTTCCTCACGAAGCGTTGTAGGCTGTAACGCAAAGATATTTATTTTTCATTCACCGTGTTCCACCGCAACTGACCACCGTCAGTCGTAATAATGTGACCCCTATGTTCAGAAAGTGATTTTTCTAGGATTTTGAACATAAGACAACGACTCAGAATACCGCGAACCACAATGACTCCATCCATCTCCGTCTACCACATCTGCGCTTGTCATCCCGACATATCTATGTTCAGAGTCGGAAAAGTGGGTGGACAACCGGATAAACTAGAAGGCTCCACAGATGGTTTATACATGAAGATTTACAAAGACTCCCCACCACACACACAATGGCAGCAGTGCATGTGTGATAAATTGGAACGGACGGAAGTGCCCTATGGCATCTAACTCCCCCAGCCTTTGCAGTATGTATTCGATATGGTACTCTACTCTATATGTAAGAGTATGTGAAACTGTAAAGAAAATCGATGAAAGTTAAAGACCCCAGATGAGTGTCCCCCTAACCATTGCCAAACCCTGATCCTCCATCCCTTAAAGTTAAAAAGTTAAGTTACTATGCGCTGCACTTCCGAGATGGCATACACACATACAACTAAACATACCATGCTATACAGAGAAATATTTGTTGCGCATGCGTGCGTGTGGGTAATGGGCCTACATGCCTTCCATCAACTCTCCTGTTTGGTGACAAACAGAAGTACCTCAATTGATACTGGAGACACATGTTTCTTAATGGAAACGAGCCTACACTAATTCACTACAAGAGTAATCCACAGCCCTATAATATCGATCCGTACAACACGCGCATGCAACAAAATTGTTTCTTGTCTCACCCTGATCGCTTGCCACATCGTTGTTCAGAGTCAGACAATCGGGAGAACCCGAATGGAAAGCACCATCAGCACCATCTCTATTTCTGAACCACCACCTGCTTCAAACGATTGTGCATACGCATTTGAGGTAAAATAACGCGGATACTAGTTCCCGAAGTGCCCTTGAGCTTCCGGCATTTAACTCGCCTTGCCCTTGCAGTGTGTTGTAGGTATACAAGACATTATGGTCCGATAATTCGGAGGTGTCCGATAAAGAATGGTGTCCGGTGATTGATGCAGTACTCTATATATGTTGGTACGTCGTGCTACTGCGCATGCGTCAGGATTACGCGCTTCATTTTATCCGAAATGATTTTTACACGCTGCCTGTCATGTCTGTGCGATTCTAGCCAGCAAGAAAACTATCGTCCAATCAGCGGCATTCGCTGCGCTCTTCGAATAGTCGACCTCTTCAAAGACATTCGCAGGCTTCCTAGCTAGCCCAAATGGAAAGATAAAGCGTCTGCAGGCCAAGTATCTGGGTGTCAAGAAAGGTCAGGCACCCCCGAGGAGAAGAGACACTATGGAGGACTGGGCAACTAAGGGACTCAAATATGCAGTAGCTACTTGGCACAATGGTTTATTGTTGTGGCCTCATCTTTGCCCTGTGGACCAGCCAGGAACGTCGGCAACTAGGACACTGTCCAAGATTGAGCTCTTTGAACAGGTGGGGGAAAGAGGTTACAATCAGGAAGTCATCTCGAAGAGCCATGCTTGAAGGGTCACAAGATCACACCAAACGTTGTTTGCCATGACACAAAGTAGGTGAATCTGGAGCGCTGCTTCGTGAGACTCTTTAAATGTACATGAGTCTGATGTGCCAGCAACCAGCCAGGACCTAAACCTCCACCTGCTGGTACTCCGTAAACCGTTGGGGCATAATTACCAGGGCAACACAGTTGCGAGAATCTGGAAGTCCACGTGATTTTCCTGGCTTCAAGACAAATCCACGCCACTGGCAAGTCGTCTCTACCACTCGTGAGTTGAGGAAAAACTTGTAGTTGAGAGAACCGGCCACAGGAGCCTGGAAGGAGTACTTTCCTACCAGACTAGCAGCAAGGGGCGCTGTTAGACAGACTGATCCGCATCCAGTCCAGCAAATATCCCACGAATGGAGCTCATGGACTCTGAGCTCTTGGACCTCAAGCACATCAGAATGCTTCTAGGGCCTCTTAAGCACTCTTTGCAACACATGCATGCTGTTGCTGAGATGACAAACGAGCGCTATTTGATAGTGATACTTCTATAAGGGACACTGCCTGGTTATGTACATTTTCCGATTTTTAATGGTTCTCCTGTAGATATTAATGGTTAGTGAGTATTTATTTAACCATAAAAACATATTAAGTTGCATCAACACAGTCCTGCTCACAGTTTTGTCTTTGTTGTTCTCTGTTTTTGTAGGTCCTTATCTCAGATACCTCAGTCTATCCTACCTCATTTCAAGGAGGCTGCACGGGAGTTAATGAAAGAGAAAGGTGCGGAGGATGCATTGGCAGCAGCTCTAGCCCACATATCTGGGTCTAGAGAGATTGTGTCACGCTCAGTTCTTTCTGGAATGTCGGTGAGCTTTAGTTTACTTGTGATCCACGCATGCAATAAAGTACAACGGTGAATTGTTCATAACTACTTAGTCCCTCTCAGTCCAACAGACTCTTGCTGTGTATGCAGCAATAATTCGTAGGTGTAGTGTTCATACGTACATGTCAGTTGCTCAGTATTCTTCGATTTTTGCCTGTAAATGGTGTTCGAATTCTGTAAATTACGGATAAGTTGGAGGCTCTGAAAATATGTATCAACCTATAGTTTTGTACTATGTATCTGCATCTTTAGCAGCATTGATCTGAACTTACAAAGGGGTTTAGGACAAAATCAACATCTAGAGTAAAAGTAACAAAGTAAATGTGCGTTGAGTTTTATTTTTTCCTTGCTATCGGCCTTTTATGAGGGAAAGGTGAGTGTGTACTTTCCACTAGTGATCTATATATGTTTGTGCGTGCACCAGTCTCTTTGGTTACCATGTGTCTTTCCCTATATGTATTTGAAATAATTCTGGTTGATCTGCCTGGTGTCTATTTCGTGCATGCAGGTGGTATTTGCATAATTTGTTCGGCTTATATTACGTGCGTACATTATTAATCCTCGGCACGCATGCACAGCTAGGGTTACAGTACTTGTCTGTCATTCCGTCCGTCTGTTACCGCTATTCTGGCACTACAGGGTACGAAATGGCGAATGTGCGATACCAATGCCCTCAATGAACGTCGGCATGAATTTTAAAATGGTGCTTTCCTTGAAACCACTGTGTTCAAAAGTGAAAAAACCAAGCCAACAAAGTACTATGTAAGTACTGGCTTATGATGGCTTACCTTGACCACTGTGTGAGGATCAGAAGCTACTCAACGGTCCAGTAGTGAGTCAAGCGCTGTCTCAAATGCTACCTACAGATCCAGCTAGTTGGTGAAAGCAAGAAACGGCGAGAAACGACTCCGGGCTAGAGACACTCAATTAGCGGTACTTATGCGCTTGCATTTACATAATACCGCAATAATTTACGCACACTGAGCTGAGGGTTTGCACTTCAGTGCTTTACATTATTTGATTACATACCGTTTTAGTATACATACATATTTTTTTCATTTACTGCAATATTAAGCTTTATGGGGCAAAGGGGGACTTCTATGGAGAGTTTCACGCGCCAACTTTGAGACACATCAAAGCTCTTCAACTGCAGCACCCTGCCGAATGCTGAGTTGTTCCAGTAGCTGATTGTGTCACGCCTAAAACTCTTCATGAACTCGTGGATTTCCACGAGCAACGCTACGATATCCCAGAAAGCTAGGCAGAAAGGTCTTGTCAGCGGACAACCAACCTTGAGCTTCATCAGTTCTAAACTCTTGATTCCTGTCGACTCGTCCAACCGCCTACAGGATGTAAAAATGGCACTCAGACACAAGCTGAGGCTCAAGGCAGTCTTCCTTTCCTTCTTGGCAGGACCTTTCATTACACTTGCCTGCGGGATCGAACCGTCTGCCCTTACTGTTGGAAGGCATGGAAAGGGCTTCCATGTTATGTGTGTGGACAGCCAACAGTGTCCCGATTGGACCATGAATTTTTTATTCGTTTTCGTGGCGCCGTAGTCAGACAATGGAGTGCTGTGCAGTGGATATCCACCATCTGCGGAGAGAAAAAATTCAAGAAAACCGACGACTTTGAGACCTATCTATACTTGAGACGTGAAAGGAGGAGGAACGAGTGGGTGAGAAGAAGCTTGAAGTGATGTGAGTGGATGTCCACTCTTACAAACTTGGTCATTTATGGTTCAACTTTGTAGTGGATCATGTCTATACACATGTACTTTCATCCATTATTCACTCTACGTTAGAAAATCACTACATGTGTGTGATTGTGTGGATGTCCACTTTACAATATTATTTGCTCTAGTGTAGTAGATATCCACCCATTTGTTGGACAGCTTCTACCATGTTTTTTCCAATGTACGTATTTAGTATCCAGTAGCCTCTCCTTGTACCCTGACATTTTCTGGGATGACTTTGTTCAAGTGTGAAATGTATTTCTGGCATTTAGCTGTGGTGACTGTGCTACAGAACTGCAATATTCCATTCACAAGTTCCGTCTTGTTTCTTGGACGGAGGAACTCCTGTGTGATGGTTTATGTAACATCTTGAAAATGTTTTGTGCTGGTATGCCTTACATGAGTGCACAAAAGGTCTTGTAACCACAAAAACTTGCCTTCAGTTCATGCCACAAATTTTCGATGGGGTTGGCGATGGCGGTTGGGATCTGGGCTCTCTGGTGCAGTTTTCCACCAGTTGATGCGATATTCAGCGAAGAAAGCTTGTGCATGGTGGAATGTGTGCTTCGGATCATTATCCTGCATGAATTTGTGGCCGTCAGGATAAACATCTTGGATAAATGGTAAGATATATTCCTCAAGAAACATTGGAGTGTCAATTATACCTTCGAAGATGCGTACTCCGGTTGCTCCACGCCAACTGATCCCAGCCCAAACGTGGACCTTGACAGGGTGTTTAGGCCAAGGTTTGTACCTTGGCTTCTGACCTTCTTGTAGCAGTGAAAGCGCCTGTGTGTTTCCATTTATACACTAGTTTCGTCCGTCCAGATGACGTCCTCAAACGTACACCCTGAGTTTTGCTGGGCCCATTCCAAGCGCTTAACGCAGTTGGGTGCACGAATGAGCTGACAGTAAGCAATTCCACGCCTAGTCCATCCCAGCAACCTTTGTCCCTTTAGCACAGTTGTTTGGGATAGTCTGACACTGTGTGTCATCTGGTTCAATGTTGAACCTAATTGCTTCCCCGTTGTTTCGTCATCTTTCGCATGGAGTTCTCGATATACTGCAAAGTTCTTTCTCGCAGCACGGAGACTGGCGTTGGACCAGAGACGTGGAATTACGTAAGTGTACGTACGTGGTATTGTAGTATGGTTCGTGTAACGGTATTATACGGGGACCTGGAATTCCAGGTGCGTGGACAATTCCAAGAACAAGCAATGGCGTGGACTTGGAATTCTAGGGTGGTGTGCGTCGGCTAACGCGTAGAGTCCGGAGTTGCCCCTTCCATGGCAGCGCGTCGGTGGAATAGAGTGAGAGATATGGATTTCCGTTGGTGGAACTGACTATTCCTTGGACACGTTACATTTCTTTCTTTCTATACCGTACAGTGTACATAGAGATCCCAAATTAAAACAACGCAACACACAATATTCTGAGAAAGGCGCTCGAGAAGGTGTGGCAAGTATAGCGACAAGCGCACTACGGAAAAGTTACGCAAAATACGGAAATTTTGCGGCATGTGCACGGATGACCGTAAAGTTTAGTTGGAGGCTTTGTGTTTTGGTGTGCTAGGGGTTATGGTTCAAGACACCTCGGCAAAACAACTGACTGGTGAAAAGTGCCTATAAAATATGGCCAACTACGCACATCATACAAGGGAAGACTCTGAATCCAACGACTCTACTGGCTGGGTGGTGGGTTCATCTGTCATGATGAACCGTGGGCCACACACCAGAAGTGAGTCAACCTCCTGCAATAGCAACATCCACTATAACTTTCTGCCCATTACGTACATGCATACACATGTTGGCTATAAAAGGAGTATCAACTTGGTATGAGGTATTACACTCCCACCTCCTGATTAGATATCGAGTCCACAAACATACAAAATCACATAGATAAACATTTTCAGGGGCATCCATTTGTGATAGGCTCTGAGAAAACGACCCTTATCACGCACGTAGTATTGTTGTAGCGGCGGTTTTACGGCGAACTACGTAATTCACCGATTCCCGTTTTTCCCCGTATTCTAGTACCTCTGCCTATCGTCTATAATCTGCGCAAGTTTGACGCACTAACTCCGTTCCGTTCCGTAGTTATGGCCCTGGGTACCAGGCAAGAACCGTTACTCGTGCCGTCGTAACGCGGAATTACAAAGAAATGTGACACAGGAGTAATCAAACCTTTTACGGAGTTACGTAAACGGGAATTCCCCTTTTCTCAGAGCCTGGCACATTTGTTAATTTTTCTGATAGAGTCAACGATCAATTATCGACCACCATAAATTTTCGGACGCGTTTGGAAGTCTATGAAATAAGCTAGACATAAACTTGTAATACCAATATATAGACAGGTACACGTGGGCTAGGTATCCGAGAAATCTCGGTCCTGTCTTACACACAAACGATTTTATGAACGATCAAAGTGAACGTCCGATAACCCCAGAGATCAGGAAAAGTTACCAATTTCCGGACGCTCGCCACCAACACTTTGAGAGAGGACGGAGGAGATTCCGAAGCTAGTGCATGTAAAGCTACCCTTCCTCTATAGACACGCCATATCTATGTTTCGTCAAAATTCCGCAGAAGCAGCTCACGATCGAGCCAAGCGCGGGGGTCACGCCCTCTATTTTCGGACTGTGGGCAGTTAAGCGCCCATACGCGCATGCGCCACAAAAAGTTCTTTATTAGTTGCAACGTAAACACATTAGTTGCAAAATGAACACTTGAAGTAGAAAGTAGGTTGTGACGCCTGGCTAGGCTTCACTGACACGCAAATACAGTGGAACCAGGAGTTGCAGGTTTCACATTGTAGGGAGCTGGCATGTTTTGAAAAAGCAAGACCTTGACCCTGAAGGAGAGTAGTGTAAACTAATTAAAGGTGCAAAATGATTGTACATTTATACCTCTTATACCATGAGCTGAGCCTGAACATTTTTGTCCTTGTCCTGAACGTTTCAGTCCTGATTCGCTGTCTGACAGAGCAGCAGCTGAGTTCCTAGTGTTGGGGATAGATAGATGTGTAAAATGTGTGTCAATACGTCTAGAGTATCCACTAAACCTGGACATCCTGAACGTTTCTGTCCTGATTCGCTGTCTGACAGAGCAGCATCTGACTGCAGTCTAGTTCCTAGTGTTTGGGATAGATAGATGTGTAACACGTGTCAATACGTCTAGAGTATCCACTAAACCTGGACGTCCTGAACGTTTCTGTCGCTGTCCTGAACGTTTTTGTCCTGATTCGCTGTCTGACAGAGCAGCAGCTGACTGCAGTCTAGCTCCTAGTGTTGGGGATAGATAGATGTGTAAAACGTGTGTCAATACGTCTAGAGTATCCACTAAACCTGGACGTCCTGAACGTTTCTGTCCTGATTCGCTGTCTGACAGAGCAGCAGCTGACTGCAGTCTAGTTCCTAGTGTTGGGGATAGATAGATGTGTAAAACGTGTGTCAATACGTCTAGAGCATCCACTAAACCTGGACGTCCTGAACGTTTCAGTCGTTGTCGTGAACGTTTCTGTCCTGATTCGCTGTCTGACATAGCAGCTGATTGCAGTCTAGTTCCTAGTGTTGGGGATAGATAGATGTGTAACACATGCGTCAATACGTCTAGAGTATCCACTAAACCTGGATGTCCTGAACATTGGTTACAATGTAAAATTATTATATTAATAACCTTGGTCTGGGACATGTAGCCTTGACAGACACCTCCAGTCACCATCACTGTCTTCAATATCTGCAGGAAAATAATTTAGATGTTAACATTTGGCACTCTGACATATGTTTCTCTATGCTATGTAGTACCTGGGTCAAGTGTTGATATATGTGGTGCCTCTGTCACAGGAGTACTTTGTCTGCAACGCCTCAATCCTGGAAACGCATCAGTGCATGTTGCAGTGTGCTTCAGCGCAAATGGCTCATGGTACTAAAAATTCACAGTGGGTATACACCCCCCACACCAAATCATCTGCTTTTGTATGTA